AGCTTGAACCGCCGACCTTGCAGTTCAAATGGCTTTGCAGTCTGGCGCATTAACCCACAGAGCCACACCATTTCTCACGTCCCTGTGCTTTTTATCATTTGCTTCATTCTATTTCATTCTTCTTGGAATGTTCTTCCCTTTTTTGCATCTAACTTCTAATCAGCCTTCATGACTCAACATAGATCATTCATTTTCAGGAAGCCTCCAAGGAGGGCTGATTTTATTAGCAGCTTCTTCACAGCTTCCAATCGGGATATACACCTATCTTAATACTTAGAACAGTCACTGTCTTTCTCAACTTCTCTGTCTCTCCCACCAAACCAGGAACTCCTTCAGATCAAAACCATTCTTTATCATCTTTGTATCATCACTATGGCTTTGTCTACTTTGTACATTTTCAAAATTCTCTACAATAAAACACAGTCCTGGTGTGTTGCTGTGGGATAAAGCACTGTACTGCAAGGTCAGTTTGAACCACAAAGTCTGAGACTCAAATTTACTACCCAAGTCAGAGACTCAAATTTACTACCCACTCCTTGGAAACCCTTTACATGGTCTCTATGAGTCAGAAATGACTCAACGGCACTTAACAACAACCACAACAATAGTTGAAGATCAGACATATGGTAGGTCACAATGTACACTTACTGAGTAGAGACATTAAGGGATGAATCTAGTTAGTTTAGCTACTTTACCACAGATAAATGATAAACCTAAGGAGTTCATGCCATCTTAAAGGTATATGTTATATATACACTGGCCAGACCAGTGTTATATGGCCAATCGTATAGAGCCATTTCATTCAAACATATAGATTCACACAGATTCATAAATTCACACATTCACCCACTAAACAGTAAATTTAGTTACTATGATTCCAGCATTATGCTAGGCCTTGGGGAATCTGTGGTATACAAATAGACCTGGCCCTCTGCTCTCATAGAAGATGACAGTTTAATTGAAGAAACAAATGAAAAACCAAATACATCTACAATCATATCACTGTAAAGAGCAAAAAAAATGTTTCAAAGAAAGTAGAGTGAGAAAGGAGAACCTGTGGAAGGAGACAAACTGATATAATATAAGGAGGAGGGGGGAAAGAAAGAATCAAGAAGTGTCTACTTACGTGGTGACATTTTGTGGAGCCTAAATTTCTTTTGGGACCAAACAAATGCCATTTATCACTAATGTTTTTTTTTCTTCTTCTTCCTAGACGTGGCACAGATAACTGAGTACATTCAGCTGTACTAAATGGTACAACTTTATTCAAGAATGTCGAATGGCAGTAGAAACTTGAGACCTATATGCTATATTGTTTGTCTTATTTAAGCAAGTAAAATTTGTTTCATTCTCTTTGGATATATGAAGTAGTAGGCAAACACTTAGGCAGAATGTTCTCAAAAATATACATTAGGTTAAATCCTTAAAACACTCTGCTAATTCATCCCCACGGTTTAGCACAGCACCTAAAATTCCAGATTCTTGAAAGTTTTGGTGTTTCATTACAAAGAACAATTCTATGGAGCAAAACACAGTGTGACTTGATTTTTCCTTATGTTCCAACTACACCACCACTCCTCTGTCAGTCTGTCGTACTGTGGTGGCTTATGTGTTGCTGTGATTTTGCAAGATATGACATAGGTATTTTACATACCAGCAGAGTCACCCATGGTGGACAGGTTTCAGATGAGCTTCCAGACAAAGACAAAACAGGAAGAAGGAGAGACGGACTACTTCAGAATATTTAGTCACTGAAAACCTTATGAATAGCAGTAGAACACTGTCAGCACCAGAATACTGATTATTGAAACAGGATGAAGTACACCAGAATATTGTAAGATACAGTGCCAGAAGATGACCCCTCAGGTTGGAAGGCACTCAAAGTGTGACAGGGGAAGAGCTGCCTCCTCAATGTAGAGATGACCTTGATGACGTGAATGGAGTAAAGCCCTCGGTACCTTCATTTACTGATGGGGCACAACCCAAAATGAAAAGAAACAGCTGTAAGCATCCACTAATAACTGGAACATGGAATGTACAAAGTATGAATCTAGTGAAATAAGAAATTGTCAAAAATGAAATGGAACACATAAACACTGATTATGCATCAGTAAGTTGAAATAGACTGGTATTGGTCATTTTGAATCTGACAATCACATGTCAGGAATGACAAGTTGAAAAGGAATGGCGTCACATTCATCATCAAGATCTATCCTGAAGAACAATGTTGCATGTGATAGGATAATATTCATATGCCTACAAGAAAGACCAGTTAATACGACTATTATTCAAATTTACACACCAATCACTAGAGACAGTAATAATGAAATTGAAGAATTCTACCAACTTCTTCAGTCTGAAATTTATCAGACATGCAATCAAGATGTATTGATAATTCCTGGCAATTGTAATGCAAAGGTTGGGAACGAAGAGGAAGGATCAGTAGTTGGAAAATATGGCCTTAGTGATAGAAATGATGCTGGAGATCACATGAGAGAATTTTGCATGACCAATGACTTGTTCATTACAAATGCCTTTTTTAAACAATGTAAAAGATGACTATATACATGGACCTTATCAGATGGAATACACAGAAATCAAATTGACTACCTTTATGGAAAGAGATAGTAGAAGAGCTCCATCCATATCATCAGGCAAAATATTGAATGATGTGGAAAGCATCAAAAGAAGATGGAAGGAACACACAGAGTCACTGTACCATAAAAAATGGTCAGTGTTCAAGCAAGAGGTAGCATAGGATCAAGAGCCAATAATCCTGACAGAAGAAGTCCAAGATGTGTTGAAATCCCAGGCAAAAAACAAGGCACTAGGAAGAGATGGAATATAAATTGAAAACTTTCAAAAACCTGATGTGGCACTGGAGGCACTCACTATCTATGCCAAGGAATTTGAAAGTTAACTATCTAGCTTCTGACTGGAAGAGATAGATATTTGTGCCCATTCCAAAGATAAAAGACCCAAGAGAAGGCAGAAATTATTGGACAGTATTATTGATATACCATGAGAGTAAAGTTTTACTAAAGATAAAATAAATGGATGCAGCCATACATTGACAGAAAACTTTCAAATAATCTGAGACAATGGATTATATGAAGAAACATGGCATCAGTATTGGATGAAGACTTATTAACAACCTGCGATATGCAGATGATACAACCTTGCTTGCTAAAAGCTAAGACGACATAAAATACTTATGATGAAGATCAAAGACTTTCAGTATGGGTTGCATCTGAATGTAAAGAAAACAAAAATCCTCATCTGTGGACCAATAAAAAACATTAATATAAATGGAGAAATGATTGAAGTTGTCAAAGAATTCATTTTTTCTTAGATCAACCATTAACACCCATGTAAGCAGCAGTCAAGAGATAAAAAAGACTTATTGCATTAGGCAAATCTGCTGCACACGACCTCCTTAAAATGCTGAAGAGAAAAGATGAGGTGTGCCTGACCCAAGCCATGGTATTTCCAATAACCTCATATGCATATTAAAGTTAGTCAATAATGAAGACTGCAAAGGAACTGATGCATTTGATCTATGGCGTTGGAGGAAAATATTGAAATTACCATGGAATGCCAAAGAACAGACAGATCTATATTGGAAG